GGTAGCTTATTTACGTAGATATGATAGAGGAATCGATTTTTTTACTGAAAAATGTGTTAGAAGTACGCCCAAAAAAGTTATGAATCTTTAAAAAAGAAAAAGACGTGTAGGTGGCGCCCCCTACGAGTAACAGCAATAAGAACATCAGGTTCGAATTCGAGACCTCAAAAACCTCCTGTAATCAAGTTTCTTCCAATTAAGTTCAGCATTTCAAAAGTTATTCGAAAAAAACGAAAATAAAAATAAAACTCCAACATCCTGTATCTTGGAAACGAAGCGTTTCCGGACATTTATTTATTTAGACAATTCATATAAGAATATTGTGAGGAATCACCTCCTGAAGTTTGTCAAAGTACTTTTGAATCACCCTGTATATTATCATTCATAACTTTTACAGTTATTTATATCAATACTCTATTTCAAAATGAAGGTGTTAACATGGCTTATGAAACAGTGATAAATGAAGCAAGCATATTGAAAATAACAAAGACAAGTGTTTGGTTTATAGAATTGTTGTGAGAATCATATCCGATAGTTACATAGATCAAACTGAAACAATTGAAGTACCCATACAAAAATAGAAACAGTTTTCACAATGGAAAATTGAGTAATTCAACATATGTTACTCACCTCCTTACACAGGGATTCATGATTGAACGGGAATCCAAATACCTTCATTTCCAGAAAAAAAAATGTTGAAACATAACTTTCTGGAAAGTATGGAAAATTTATAAATTCACAAATTCTCAATATCTCGCGGTTAGAATTACTGGCCCCTGCTAAATTTGTTTTTTCATTTGATCATACTGAGTCCTTTGTCAGAATGAATAATGTAACATTCATTAACTTATTTACCTGTTTCCACTAGGACCCAATGAATTGATGGTTATATCCAATTGGACAGTGGATTAGAATAGGTAGGTGAAAGATGGTAACTGATATTGTTAAAGTATAAAATGGTTGCAACTGTCCCGCTAGAGGAAGCTTTTCTAAAGTGAGGTACATGTAGTGGTTTCTGTCATACCTTTCAAAGTGAAAATTTTACACTGAAGTCTCCAGAAAGATTCAAATAACACTGATTGAGAAGATTATGAGGAAACGTTCCACATTTAATTTATTTACTTTCTTCTCAAAATTCATTCAAAGAATGTTGATATTTGAACAAGGGTCCACATCGTAATGTGACACGAATCTTTTTTTCATCTTATTTTCAGTTATTTGCCTATCAATCAGAAAAAGCCATGTTTCGATATAGATTTTGCTTGGTGTAGATTAGTTTTTGGAACACCTTATCAAAATCTTTCGAGTCATGGGTAAGGTAAGGACTCATCAAATGAGTTTATTTATCAATTTCTACTGGATGGAGAAACCTATATATAATATATCAAAAAGTGCATTTTCACCAACTCAAAATAATATTATGTTTATTTGAGTCCTAGTACAAACTAAATTTCATTAGTTTACATTAAAAAAGTCAGAAGGGTCAAAAACAAATAATAGAAAATTTATCAACGATAAGTAAAATATCATATTCAATGATTTGGAATTTTGACCAGTGCCCCAAATTCCATTTTGTTTCGAAAGGTTTTCAGATGTTCATAATTCCATCAACAGTACTTGTTCAAGGGTTACAATCCTAATGATCTTTTAATATTGGTCAGGAGATAACAATCACGAAATCTTCATAGGGAAGCAGATTGTCCATTGAAGTAAATGTTAATTTAACAAAGAACAAAGAAACTTTATTCATTCAAATATTGATTTTAGATTACTGAAATGTCAATCGAAGAAATGAACAATAATCGAATGACTTTTATATTCATTGATAGATTACACGTCATCGGTAAAAATTGCACTTTCTCACAAATATTCGAGACGAATAACCAAATAATTTCTCTATTCAATGAAAAAATTTGTTCAAAACAGTATGTAGTAAAGAGGCTATTCAATGTCATTTACGCTTCAGTTTTACCTGTGGATGACCTTTTTGTTGATAGTGTCATTATAAGAAAAATTTTTGGACTGGAAATGTTGGAGTAGTATATACTTTTGATAACTGCTGATTTTTAAGTGCAATATTGGGTTTACATATATTATGACCCAAATCTCAAGGGGTAGATTGAAAAGGAAACATACTCACCCACCACTCACCCACCATACAAGGTATTGGCGATTCCAAAGAGTAAATGAAAATGAAAGGTATAATCGCTTTCCAAAAACGAAAATGTTATTTCACTTAAATTAATTCGTTATTTTCTCTAGGATGCACTAGACAAAAATATTTTTCTCCTGTAATTTCCGAATTCCATCTAAAAATATTTGAGAAGTTGGTACCTTGACCGATAGTTGAATTTGACGATGGATATTTGATTTAGATATGTTATTCATTTGAAGTCCATGATAGATGATTAAATTTTAATTGAACTACTGGTTTTTAGTGTATCTACACTATCTACAATCATGCATTGTTATTATTGATTTGTTGAACAAACCAGGCAAATGATGAGATTATATCAGAAATTTGAATAAATCAACTGTTTTACAATAAACAACTGTTTTACAATTTAAATTCACTGAAAAATCGTTCAAACCAACGAAATGTAGAAAATGCAAATATTCGTAGCTGATCATGCAAATTTACATAAAAATATAGGCATACAAAACATAAAAATCTCTCCACTATAAATTCAAGAAAAAATTAAAATAACTTACACTTAAATCAGCGGAGATGAACGAAATGCAAAATTTTGATTGTTCTTTCGACATGCTTACTGTAACTCAGAAATTATGTTGGGTAGGATAAATAAGGTTACATGTGATATTTCATATTTTGGAGTTATAATTCAATTTCAGTCAAAATTTCAAGTTTGAAGTTGAAATGTACCCTTTCTACCCATTCATTAGATATAGAATACAAAGAAAATTGCTGAAAACTCATGAAAAATATCAGATAAAGAAAAATTATTCTAGACAGCATTTTCACTAGAAAAAAAAAATACATATTTCGAAATATATGACGGATAACTTGATCAACACTTGATAATGAAATCCAGAAGAAACACTGATGATATTAAGTACTGGCATAATATCGAGCGCTGCCATACACACCTGCTTTTTCTGGAAAAAGTCCTACAACACCCCGAAAACCTATATTCTGGAATACATGTTGAAATATCGTTTCTTTAATAATGAAAATAAAAAAAGTATCGCGTGCAAAAAAAATTAGTGTGCTTTTTTTCGTTTTCAGATGACGATTCCGATCGCACAGTTTGTTCCTCCATCGGATATCATAAGAAAATTCACAGCAGTTGCAGACGCATTGTTAACTGTTTATTTAGCGTTAGACCCCTTCGTGTACGTGCTGCAAAACTATATGGAGGGAAGATTTAAATTAAATTGTTGCGTCAATAGACAATCGACTAGTAGTCTTTCCAGTCCTTCTGGTATGAAAACAGAAGCTTCAGAAATTTCATTGAATATCCCTTGTATACCCGAATCCCAAAATGAGTATCCATATCTCAATGGATTCAAAGAAAGCCAATTAACCTAGTGAGAGGGAAAAATTTCGAATTGTCTTTTCAAAAATTATTTGTAATCTCACCCCAACCTTTTTTCGACAAAATTTCATCTCTGTGACGAAATTTCACTTCAATGATACTACTAATCTCTTCTCAGAAATCACGAAACCCATATGGATGGGGCATGACACAAAGGATATTCAAAAAATTGCAAATATTTTATACCTGTATTTATTGCATGTGTGTACTTTCACGAGAATATTGATGAAAAATATTGATATTCCTTGAAAAAATTAATATGTACCTACTGTATGACATGAATTTGAAAATATGCTTAGTTTTTCTAGTTGATAGTTGGAATTTGACGTGTATTTTTAAGGTACGTTTTGTAATTTCATTCTTTAATCAGATAAGTATAAGATCTGAAGCCACGTGATGCAATTTATTTTTGCAATGACTCTGAACATCACAGTGGATTTACAGTGAACACTACTATTTTAGAATTTGGTATGATGCAACAAAATACTCAACCCCAGAATCAATGAATATAAGTATTTTTAAAAGTTTTTTATGTTTCTTACCACTCATAACCTGAAAAA